CTTCTTACACTGATAAAACAAAAATAAAAAAATTTATTAAAAATAGCATTCAATACATTTATTTTTATTAAAAGTAAAAAATGGAATAAAGGGTACAAAACTACAATTTAAATTTTAATCATCTTCTTCCTCTTCATCGTCGTCTCTCGGCTGCTGGTAAATTTCAAACTGGTCTTCATTATCGTCTTCAACGACATTTGTTTCAAGTCTTCCATGATTTCGGGTCAAAAGTTCCATCTTCGTTAATGTCGCTCTGATATGGTAGAGCATGAGACAAGCTTGCCCATTACATTGGCCACAAGCTAAAGAGCATTGCAAGCCCGCTTTCCTGCATCCGCATCGCGAACCACAACCACTCTTGCAGTTGCAGAAAGTTCTGGAGCAGGTGGTAAAATTGTCATGATAGGCTCCAGAAAATCGTTTCGCATTGCCCAACCCCATACCTGGGGTTCCAAATCATGCGCTAACCAAGTTTGAACTTGATAATATACCGTTCGAAATGTTGAGGCAGCTGCACTTTTGGTGGAATATTTGAAAGTGCACAGGTTTATTAAGTTTTGTAGACTTGACGTAATGCATATAACGAAGATGATCGAGACTTTTCACAGATTTCGGAGCATTATAGACTGCCAATAAGGTTTGAGTTCCACTCTCTAATAATCTCTGGGCCGAACAATTTTCTTCCTCAAATGCTGCAGCTAGTTCATCCAAATTGGTCAGTTTCTCAACAACTTTTAAAAATGTTTTTTTCCCCTTTTTAAAAAGCGCAGAAGTTGTGTCACATCCACTTAATGCGTGCAGAAATAAAATATGTGTTTTGGAATGAGTATAATTATTAAAACTTTTAGTCGAGTATATCTCCGTTTTTACATTGGCTTTCCCAACTTTTTTAAAGAAAATTTCTTGTTCGTAAGACAGTGTACGCCCAATTAAAATGATGAGTAAATCATCTTGTCCTATTATTTACAAATTTACAGATTTTAAAGAAGATGCACTAAATTACTTTCTAATTAAAATGTCATTAGTGTTAATGGGAATATAATTATAGTAAGATTTAAGTTTTCCTTCATTATTTTTAATTTATGGAAACGGTGATCAGTATTATTGAATAGATAAAGATTTAAGGATGAAGAAAATGATAAAATATAATATAATAGTTAATAAAATTGACAAATATTTATAATCAATGATTTATCGATAGTTCATAACTATATATGGCGCGTTTTGATCGGAGCACCGGTTGACCTGGAGTGATGCTGTGACGCGCGCTCTAAGCCTCTATCTCGAAAACGGTTCACCGTATGAAAAAATGTTTAAACAAAATTGTAGAGAATTTTGTATTCTACAATATTGATAATAATACCAATAGCAAAAAACCCATAGGAAATGAGATATTTACAAAAAAGCGCAAAAAACCGATTTTTGTGACCTTTACCTTGAAATTTAATAGTTGCGTACACCCTACCATATGTAGGTTTTGAGACAACTTTTAGGTGTCAATATACAAGTATTTACAGACTTACAGCTGGGTATGAAATATGAATTCCGAGGTGAACTTACTATAATGACTGGACTATACGAAATCGTTGGAAATGAACCTGTCCTTTTATTGAAAGTGAACCCGTCCCCGTCATTAAAAATTACCAATCATTGTTGGTGACGAGACGTGCGTTTTGAATACGACATCGAAACTGTCCAACAATCTAGCGAATGACACTCCAAAAATAAACTAAAACTCGCTGAATGCACTGAAGGCCATCCCAGCCGTGGCTTATAACAAGTGTATGGTAGATTGAATTAAACTTGATTGAAACAAGCTTGTATTGCCACAGACGCCTATTTTGAGGTCGAATAATATCTCTCGTTATTAATATTAATAAGGTTTAAATTCAAATATAATTCCTATATTTTCAGTAACAATTCTGCAATTTCATGGGCAGGTAAGTGTTGTTAAATAGATTAATACTGATTCGCTTTGCGTTCGCAGTTTGGACCTATCGGGGTAAAATTTGAACTGATGGTATAAGCTAAATAAATCCCTACAGCTGATGAGTTTTTGTGAGAACATTTAAATGTTTTTAAGTTGGTGTTGTTGCGAACTTCGAAAATTTCTCGGTTGCAAACCATATGTTATATGTATCTGATATCTTTGCTTTGCTTCTTTATATATGTGAAAACTCTTAACTATAATATAAATAAAAATTATCAATTTATCTCTTTTGCAGCTATCACGTGTTGTTTATACTTTTTAATTTATTTTATATTAACTATTTAAAATTTATTTTTGAATTTATCAAGTTTTCAGTTTATTATCTTAAATTTTTGCTACGCAAAGCTGGAAAATATTGGTTATACTTGTACAATATGTATTTATACGAATACTTGTATAAACTTATTAAACAGCTGAATATATTTATGCAAAAGGTGAAAACTTGCCAATTGAGTAAATATATTTGGTTGCAAGTTGAATATTGAAATAAAGAAATATGTCAAAGTATGACTAACTTGATGTCTTCACAAAAGAACTACTCTCGCAATTTGAAAAGATACTTTTAGGTGTTGCAAAACTTTTTATAAAAAAAAAAATATTTCGAAACAATTCAACATGCAATATTCGATGAAACCGAATGGTTTACAATATCGTTTCGTTTCATTACTACAGACCAAAATATTAATATTAAGTTTAAACTAATTAACTCAAATGAGATGTGTACAATACAATCATATATTTATTTCATATAAACTCCATCAGTGGGGCTAAATTTTATATATGAGCTATATGAGGGAAACATAATCGAAAGAATGGGAAATGCCAATTTCATTCTGGACCAGGGTAGCGAATTTTTTAATATAAAAATTTTGGATTAAAAATTAGATTTTAATTTTTTAATTATCAGGAATTGGGATTAGAAATTATATATAAATTGTTGAATCCAATATGTTTGGGATTAAAAATTTAAAATGTTTTTTTTTGATTTGAATGAACGCGAAAGAATGTTAATTCTAAAATTCTTAATTAAATATGTATGCATGTATATACGTAAAACTAAAATTTATCTTTTTTATTTTTCAAACAGGTAGTTGGGATTAAAAACTAAAATATATTTTTAATCCGGTTTTGGGATTAAAATTTGTATTCTTATTTTTTAATCCGGTATGTGGGATTATCATAATTTTTTTTTTAATTCAATATGCAGCATTTAAATTTTTTTATTTTTGATTTATGCGTATTTGGAATTACGAAATAAAATAAAAAATTAAGTCCGTAATGCTTATAAATTTTCTTAAATAAGGTATATAGGGCTGGGGAATACATATTTTGAGCTATTTTATCCAGTTTTGGTATTACGGCACATCATTACCAGGAATTTCATTAAGAAACATCACAGATTGACCATCCATATATTAGGTTTGTATGTGGGAACTAGGGGAAGTATTGCACTGATTTTTTTCATTTTAAGCAAGAGGATACACTCTTTATAAAAATAGATTATTTCTGAATTTCATTAAGATTTCTTACATATTGACCGATAGATGCGGTATAAAGTCAACCGGAAATCCAAAAATATGTATATCAGGTAAAGGTGGATGAGGGATGTATTGGCCCGATTTTACCCACTTTTAGCACAAGGGCATGCTGTCATCAAAAAAATATTCTACAAAAAATTTCAATACTAGACTTTACAGATTGATTAAATTTGGTAGAAATTGGTTAAGTAGTTCCCGAGATATCGGATTTGATTTCGTGAGCGGTGTCACGCCCATTATTCAGTTTTTATACCTGCTACTATAAAACTCTTCCATACCATTCTAGTTGTGAAAATTAATGCTTGTGGGGTATTTATTCAGTGAGAGTTATAGCACTTTTAGGGAGTAGGATTATCTGATTTTACCCATTTTCACAGTACAGTAGTGGAGAAGTGATAAAAAAATACTTCATCTCCGCAAGTTTGATTTATTTAACTTTAAGGGTTCTGAAGGTATACAAATTAAATCATTTACCGAGTGGCGCCTAGCCCATTTAATAAAATTGTTTGGCTCACAGTTGTCTCTCGCTACTGTGATCTCCTGTGGGGACCAGTCATGGTACAATTATTACTGTTATTTAACAATCTAACCCTGTTAAAAAAAAAAACAGTCATGGTCTAAAACCAACTGAACTCCGAGCAATGAATATGCTGCTTATAGGTTCATTGGTTTCTATGGTCTGCGTTTAACTGCTGCACTTTACATAAGCGCACAAGTTCCAAACATGAACGAACACACGAGTGTGGCACGACTGTTGTTCGGCTTTGTTCATTTGCTTTTACTAGGGATAGCTGGTTGATAGTTCAGGCTTGTTTTACCATGCTTTTTATGTTGGATCGTTTTCGCTGATATGATCTTATCGTTCAACTATTGTTTTGTAAGACGGTTAATTTAAATTATTTATTATGGCCATCCCTCTTCCATATAATATTTTTAACATAGGTTCATTTATATGATTCTCTCTCTTTGAAGATAACCCTTTCGTAGTAAAAAGTATATTTTAAAACATATCAATGAATAAACTTTACATAGGGTTGATAAATATACATATGTAACACAATTTAGATTTGTACCTATTTTGTGGCTAATCACTTAATTTCATTAATAAATAGTATAAATGCCATATTTTACTTTCATATAATTTTAATTTTTTTAAATTATAATTATTATTATAATGCACAATTTTAATTCGGTACTTCAAAAAAGACCAAAATTGTCAATAATTATCGTGTTCCGGTTCCATGCGGAAGTCGAACCGGATGCGCTATATGTGCTACGCTCAATCACACGGTTAAAAACATGCACACATACCCACACACACATGCTTAATGCTAGATGTATGTGCATAATATATTTCGCTTACCCGCTTCTCGGCGCTATCGCAGGGATTCCCAAATGATGAAGCTGAAAATGAAGACGTAGTCGCGGTAGCGGCATTGCCGGTGAGCTGTTCTGATGCCGCCGTCTCTGGTATAGCAGTATCAATTTGTTCTTGTTTTATTAGCGGCATGAGGGGAACAAAGTCCGTTTTAGCTATTCCTTCCAGCTCCTCGAACTCCATGGCCGTTTATATGAGGTAAAACGTGGAGTGGAAATAAAACTTATAGGTAGTGCTTTCAATTGAAAGTTGTTGATTGATCGGACACCAATTCAATTTGTTATACACAAACAACGTTGGGGTTATCTCAGCTTGTATGGAAAGGCTTTTCAGCTCCTGATCTTTAAGTGATTACACGCGTGTACTAACATTTTTGCTAGTGCGGCTACGATTAATAAAAAAGGTTTTTTTGTTTTTAATACACTATTCATGCAGATAGTTTCAAGATGCACGTTCTCTTGTCTGCTTTCACTTTTTCTCTTTTCTTTTAAACAGTAGACCGTATATTTATCCAATACACTTTGTTCTTTCTTTCGCAAAATATAATTGAATGAAAATTTTCACCGATAAAATTTTCCTACCAAAGAATTTCAATCTTATAATTATTAACACTCCACCAACTCACATTTTTCCGCGATTCAATTATCTCAAGTTTTTAGTAGTTTTCAATTAGAACTTATTGTTTAATTTAAGAATAGGGAATATTAAAAAACACACTCAGTATATCGAACTTTTCTCGGACGCTTCTTCACTGTACAGAAATTTTACTTTTTTGTTGGTGACGGCCATTTTGAATTTTGTAATGCAGGGTTGCACAGGAATTGTATGCTATAATTCAAATATTAGGATCATTAACTTAAAGTTCTTTTACATATTTGTCAAAACAATATTAATTTGTCATGAAGAGATGTGTTTAGCTGAATATTAAATCAAAAACCAAATTGCTAGTAATAGTTGTATATTTTGCAATTTTTCATCTTTATATACCTAAGTAGTCCTAAAAAATACACCACTGAAAATACAACTCTGATTTTTGTTTTTTGTTTTATGCTGCTCTTCGTTGTTGTCTTATATAGTACTAAAAACGAAAAGTGTTCCCAATGTTTAATCATTAAGGAAAATTATTCAAGTAATTTTATAAAATATCCTCCAAATGAATTAGTTGTAAATTAAAAAGCTTGGTTTCATCTAAAACCCTCTTAATAAATGTACTAGTATAAGTTATATTTCAAACAAAAAAATCATATAATTACAAATAAAATAATATCTTTTTGACATATATTTTCATAATACATTTAGAACAAATTTTTTAAACTATCAGATACATAAAATTATTATTAAATGCTTTTTATAAATATGTAACGATGGAAAAGTCTTGAAATTTTTAATGTTATTTTTAAAATTTTATAAAATCTTATTACTTTTATAATTTTAAATTTTTTTTGCAGGCAATCCTAACTGTCAGTTTTAGAACTTGAGAAATCAACACAGCCTAATTTGACAACCGCATTTATAATTTATATAGCTGTTTATGCCGTGCATTCTGATAACTTTTGGAATAATTCAATAAAATTTTGTGGCTGTTTGTGTTTAATATTAAAATACTCAACATTTATAATTGATGGAGACTCTACTGGAGCAGCAGCGTCGCTACCACGAGGAACGGGAACGTTTGCTAAAGTTGATGGTAGACGAGTACGCTACGAAGAAAACTGGGGAAAAGGAAAGGATTCACTCAGAGCAGAGGTTAAAATGTTTGTTAGATCTGCACAACAATTCCACAACTAAGTTAAAGGAATTGTATGAAGATAAAGATAATGAACGAAAAGCTGAAATTCAAGCCCTCTCTGGGCCAAATGAATTTAATGAATTCTATGCACGTCTGAAGCAAATTAAAGAGTTTTATAAAAAGCATCCGTCTGAGATAAGTATACCTCTTTCCGTGGAATTCGAAGAGCTTACGAAAACGTATAATAATTTAGAAGAAATGTCCGCTCTCGTTGAATTCACCGACGAGGAGGGTGGTGGTCGATATTTAGATTTGAATGAATGTTATGAACAGTATTTAAATCTTCGAGGTGTGGAGAAAGTAGACTATATAACCTATCTGATGACATTTGATCACGTCTTTGATATACCGCGAGATCGTAAAAATCGTGAATATCGAAAATATATTGAAAATTTAAATGCTTATTTGCATAATTTCGTTACACGTATACACCCCCTACTGGACACCGAGGCAGAACTAGTTAAGGTCGAGTTAGAATTCCAACGTCAATGGTTACAAGGCAGTTTTCCAGGTAAACTTTAATTAGTTCTATTTAATATCTTGATTTCTCTAACTATATGTATATTTAGGTTGGGCATCAAAGGAGACAGAATCCGCTTTAGCCAACACTGGCGCACATTTAGATTTGTCGGCTTTTTCCAGTTGGGAGGAGTTAGCGTCGCTTGGGTTGGATCGTCTAAAATCAGCGCTTATGGCGTTGGGCTTAAAATGTGGCGGAACACTTGAAGAACGCGCCCAACGACTTTTCTCAACAAAAGGCAAGAAAACACTTGATCCATCTTTAATAGCTAAAAAGCCGGCTAACAAAAATGCGAATGTACATACGCGTGATAATGAACGTCATAAGGAAATTGCTCAACTGGAGGCGTTGTTGTACAAATATGCAGACTTATTATCTGAACAAAGAGCTGCAACCAAAGAAAACGTGCAACGTAAACAAGCCCGTACTGGTGGAGAACGGGACGATAGTGATGTTGAAGCAAGCGAGAGTGATAACGATGATATGGACGATGCAGATGATGTACCATATAATCCCAAAAATCTACCACTTGGTTGGGATGGCAAGCCAATACCTTACTGGTTGTATAAACTGCATGGTTTAAATATCAGTTATAACTGCGAAATTTGTGGTAACTTCACGTACAAAGGCCCAAAAGCATTCCAACGTCATTTTGCAGAATGGCGACATGCTCATGGAATGCGTTGTCTTGGTATTCCAAATACTGCACATTTTGCAAATGTAACACAAATTGAGGACGCGATCACATTGTGGGAGAAACTTAAGTCACAAAAGCAAAGTGAGCGTTGGATAGCAGATCAAGAAGAAGAATTTGAAGATTCATTAGGAAATGTAGTAAATCGTAAAACATATGAGGACCTTAAACGCCAAGGCTTACTATAAAAATTTTGCTACCGTCTGAATTTTTATTCATTTATGCATAAATTGTATAGAGCTATATTAAAATGAAACAATGTTGTATAATAGAAAACAAGTATAACACGATTTTAAATGCAAATATCACCTACCGTATATTTCTAATTAAAATATTTCCAAATTTAATCTTAAACCAATACTATTCAAACGGGTAAGCGGAAGGAGTGCAATTTCACTTTTATTTCTTTCTAAGTTTAAACCATCGCATAGCCAAGGAAAGTCCTAAATTTAAAAGAGAAGAAAAATTTATGAAAATTCCCGTTACAAATATTTCTTAAATCTATCAGATCTTTTACCTGGTAATTTGAATTGTGGCTAAGATGCATAAAGGCTTCTTGAGTCGTATTAAGTGCTACCTTGAATTTAGCACTTTTGGGCAATGAATCCAATGACTTTAAACGCTCGGCTAATTTATACAATGAACTGCGTAATTGTTCTTCAAACTCTATCAGGAATTTGTCGTTAGCCGATTGTGCCTCGTACATCATTTGGCCATCAGCTTCAAAATGCGTAACGTTGAATGAGTAGCACTCATTTAAAGGTATTTCGTCGTGGTAGAATTGTAATATTACGCATTGCAATACGCCTCTTTGTTGTAGTTCTCGTGCAGTCCGCAAGACGTTATGTATGTAGGAATTAAGTGGCGGAAATATGGAAACATATACTGGTGCATTGTAAAAGCGTCTCTTTTTGAAAATTTGTGCCGGGTACAAATCACGCAAATATAGTATATGATTTAAAAATACTTCTAGCGCCTCGATTACGATGTCCGCTAACTCTGTTAAAAAGTTTGATTAAAGGTGCAGCTATTGTTATATATTTGATATGCACACATTTACCTTCTCTACTCATGTTTAACTAGCTTTAATTTTATTGTAATCACTTTCATTAAAAGTCTACATATGTTACATTTATTTGAAAATATTGATAAATTAAAAGCAGGTATGTTTGCTTAACATATGATTGGAAAATTTCTCACAGGAGTTGCCATGTACTATTTAATTTATCATATCCAATAAATTATACAGTTTGCATATATTTCATATTTATTTTATTGACTGGATATCTTAATAAATTTTATAAGAAGCTTTTAAACTTAATCAAAGGATTTGTTTTTTGAGTGAATATGTGTTTAATTAGTTTGGTACAACTACATTTTTCACTAAAAACCTATGTGGTGGACTATTTACGTTCTCTGGTATAACAACCCTGTGGGGTATTGTGACATATTTACAAGAACCAACTGGATAAACAATCTACAGTGCCATCTAACGGGTTTCCTCTTCTGTCTTCACTGGTGGATGTCTTGAATGGGAAAATTAAGGATTTTATTAATGAGTATAGAGAGGTTTTAGGCACTATTGCCTTCTATTCAGTGATTATTTCCAATATCAAACCCTCAGGGACGACACTGAGGAAAGGTTAATGTATATTTTTGTGTTTTGAGCAACATAAATATTCATCAAATGGTTTTATTGAATGCTTTTTCAGTGAGCTGATGTGAATTTTATTTTCATGAAAATCTAAAATCGATTTGAATAGAGAGAGCTCTAGAGCATAAGGAATATGCCCTAGGCGTTTTTCTTGACATAAGCGGAGCATTTAATAATGTCTCTAATAGCGCATTCGTTGATATTCTGCAAGCAGCCGGGAAAGAGCTCGCCTCAGGAGGTAGTGTCGCCTCTCCTATGGTTACTTGTAGCAAATAAGCTTCTGCAAATTTGGAAGGAAGAGCACCCAAGCTGATAGTTTAATAACGCTCTAAGGATCATACATCAATGAGCGATATCAGCTAACCTAGAGTTAAACGCCGGTAAGACGGATAAGGTACTCTTTACAAGAAGGTAAAAGATCCCGTCATGGACTTTTAACTATGTAGTAGAAAATGCAGGGAAGTAGGCATGAAAGAGACGCTAGAACACCACCTCTTCTTCTGCTCGGCCTTATCTAGAACTCGGTTTATATATGTAGGCGCTTTGAAGTTTAAGGAACTGGATGAATTTTCATAATTAGATAGCAAGTCTATTAAACTTCGCAAAAAGCGTTGACGTCTTGCACGACGTTAACTTCAGCTCATATTAAACTGAACATCCATCTGGCATTACGTAGGTCTATGTATGTCGCGACAGTCAGCCAGTATCATACCGGAATGATATATAATATAATTCCGCAAATCTTTTTCTTTTATTTCATTTTGCGAATCTATATAAATACAGGTTGGTTGAAAAGTTTCAGCTCTCTAAATGAAAAAATACAATTTTTGGTACGAAATATACTTTTTTATTCAATATAATCTACCTTAACTTTAATTCACGCTTAGTCAAACTTGGATCTTCATTAACAATATTATGAACTAGCTCAATGATTTCTGGTGTGGTTTCGGTTTTTGGTCGGCCATCGCGTGGATCGTCTTCAAGCCTGCGTTTTGAAGGTGAGAACTCCTTATACGCTTCTAACAATTGTTCATAAATTTCCTTTGCTTTTAAACCTTTCAAAGCAAAGAATCTAATCACTGCGCGATATTAAATTTTTTCCATATTAAAAAAATACTCTGACACGTCAACTTCAAATAACTTGTAAACAAAGAATTAATTGACAGAATAACTTGTAACTTTGCATGTGTTCTCACGACAGATGTACCAACTTGAGAAAAGAAAAAAAATTTCTTGGTGAGCACTACTCACTTTTCAACGAACCGGTATGTATGTCTATGAAAATATGGCTTGTGAGCTGGCTATTTATGGCCACCATTTATTGCTCTAGAATTACTACATTTTGAAGTATACCGCACTTTTATTTTCACAATTAAAATTAATGCAAGATAAAAGTAAAATAGCATCAAAACTTTTTAGCGCCATTTCATCAGCATTTTTCGGCTATAACAAGTTTTTAACGTTTATACTCGTATTACCCATGCCACAGTGTTGGCACTACCTATTCTCGGTACAAGGTAATGCCATCAAACCGTACAGGTAATGATGATACTGCTGAGTGAAAACAAAATAGGCAGAAAGTTATAAACGCACTGAATGGCGCAAGAGTATAATTAATATATGTACATACATCTGTACATATGAGTATGTACATATGTATGTATATTAATTTTTGATATAAAATGTTTGTAGGTACAAATTTCCGTGCAACTTTATATTTGCAAATTTTACAACTCAAATATAAATATGTTGCCATGCAGACTGTTGCTGAGCGCTGCAGGTGTGCAACATATGTTTGGGTATGAATTTTTATGCGCTATGCGTATATGTATGTATGTATATGTGGATATGTATATAAATTTATTTAGGTACAATGTGTTTCACTATAAGGTTTGCAAAATTATATTCAGAGGTATAAAAGAAGTGTAACATAATTTAAAAAGTTAAATTTGGTACATTTCCTGTAAAATACAGCATGTTAAAAGAATGCTGTTAAATTTTAACATGGTACGTGTAATTTTGCTAGTTATGAACAGCCATTGAATTCTGCAATTTATTTTGTTTTAAATCTTACAGTAATATAAGACATTTTGTTTAGAAATAAATTTTGTTTGAAAAAGAATCCACTTTTAATGCAAATATAATTTTTAGACCCTAACTCTACATTTTACCAAGGCTCAGTTGAATTCCACTATGATAATGAGAGAATAAGCAGATTATGCTGTCATCCTTTCCACTTTGAGTTTCTGTCAAATGTCAAATATGGACACGAATAATTCTACTTGGACAGCTAGATACGCCTATCTGCTGTGATACTCAGAGCTCGTGGGTATGGATTAAAAAGACCGTTACTTACTTACCAACGCTTACTGAACTCCCGTGAAACTCATATATCCAACGCTTGAGTGCACGAAGACAGGGGAAGATCTGCCCGTTCGCATCCTTATGGGGATTTGGGTAAGCATGTCGTTTCTTGCAAACTCATCGGCTTTCACTGTAAGCAAGTTGCTATAAAAGCATATATTGAAGCGAACTTTCATATAACAAAAATTGGCTAAAACCAGGTATTTCTGTGAAATAACTTGTCTACATAGATTTGTTTAGATATTTGGTGCAGAACAGTAGTAAACACGGTCTTGTTTTAAATTTAAAAATATTTGACAATAGTATCATCTTTGACAGCAAAAGTTTCTGAGGTAAAAATGTGTAACATCTTCAGAGGCAAGATTAATATGATCCGTGACTGCTTTTGAAGTGCTTTTGACAAAAGACAGTTTACGATTACCATAAAAGTTTGACAGTCTCTATTATTCTCTCTCTCTATTATTCATGTGACTGAGAGCTAAAGTTACTTATTCTCTCAATTATCATCAATTATCCACTCATCTGTTAGCAAATGCATATGAGAACGCTTTCTAGTAAATTCTGTAAATTTTTTTTTTTTTCTGAGAAACTCTTATTTGCACTTATGTCTTTTAATGTAAATTAACTCAATCTGTTTGCTTCGGCAAGTACCCAACTTTCTCGCAAATAAATATAGTTTCTAATTATATACAATAAACAATGATTGCAATACTAGTGAAGGAGTTATAGCGCCTTCAGCTCTATTGTTTTTAAATGTACCCTCTTTTGTGAAACAAATTGTTAACTCAATTTTGTTTACAATATTTATATGCATACATATGTATACTCGCTTATTTACAAACATAGATATATTGTGTTGTTTAAAAGCTCATAATTGAAATTGTTGAACAATTTTGGCAGTCAACTTTTGCGTTTTGTGCGAAATTTTTATGCAAATTGTTTCAAACAACGATTTTGTTTATACAATTAATACGAGTATAATACAATTTTCAGGATTTACTACCAAAAGGGTCTATTACAGTTAGTTATAGGGGATAAAATAAAAGTGGAAGGAGTACATCCTCTCCTTATACCTCGCTATACGGCCGCTCTTAGTCTTAGAGAGCGCCGAATCGAACAGATAACTGGTATAAGAAGTGACACAAACTGGCATAGTCAAGTTAAGATTTAATAACAAGCAGTTATACTAGTTTGAAGCGTAGTAAATTAAATTGGACAAGTTTGCTGTTGTTTTGTGATGTGCATTTTTTGAAAATAGAGACACGAGAGCAGAGCTCAAACATAGCGAGTGATGATGACATCGTTGTATATACCTGACGGTATGAGTGATATCAATCATTTTCTTTAGGACCAAGGCAGAATAGTTTAGTGATAAAATGATGAGTTGAGCGCTATACGAGTATACTGTATAAAGTAGCTTGAAGTAAAAAAATAATTTAGTTCCGTATATGAGGACTAGAAGATTATGTTGCATCCAATTTTCAAATGAAAAATATGATTTAGAAAAAGATGTATGCTCATTTCAACTATTGTCAGGTTTATATATAGAGAGATCTATAGAGCCCCTTTCTCCCGAAGAAGCTGCTCTTTTGTCAGAAAGCTGATATTGGACAACTATAGCATATAGCCGCAATTAAACTGAACAATCGGAATCAAGTTCTTCTATGGAAAACTTTTTTATGTGACAAGATGTCTTCACGTAATTTGGCATTGATTACACCGGTCAACAAAAACAATGTTTTTTTTTGGTTACTGTTTTTTTCCTTATATTCTGATTCTGGACATCGGAAATCACTGAATGTTTTATCGTTTGTCGACCGGTTTTATTGCTCAAGTTAAGCCTATAATCACCAAACATATTGTTCAGATCGGATCACATATAGTTGCAATACAAACTGACTGATCAATAAAAAGATAAAAATATTTCTATACTCTGTAATGCTATAAAAATTGTAGCTGTGAAAGGTATTATAAAGGTCGGTGTAGGCGAAGTTAGCGTAATCTCGTATTTTAATTAAACACACACACACATTTGCCATGCGCTGCTAAACGATTTTATTCTCGCTATGATGTTACTTATTTCATATCAATCGATGAGCGTGCATGAGTAATGAGTTGTGAAAAAATGAAATTTCAAACACGTTCGCAACCACACGATTTGATTTTCAAGCATATTTACAGGCGCTA